GGCAGTTCGGCGACGAGGGAGGGGCGATCTCACAATTAGCTCCTTCCCATCGACGTGTCGACGCCTCTAGAGAGCAATTTAGGGAGCTCACAAGAGTTGACACGTTTCACCATGGTGGCTGGACGAGCTTGCTCTAGTTCACAAGAGTTCACAGGTTCCTTCAGAATGAGACTTGTGAATTGGAACTAGTGTGGCAGCGAAAGTGCAAAATGCCCCCCGTCGCCGAACTGCGCTCCTATTGCACCTCTTGACTCTCGCTCAACTCTCTTGAATTTTCTTTACGTCTGATTTCGAAAACGTGCTGAACTTTTCAGCTGAATGTGGCTCCCCCACGATCTGGCGGTAGTGGTGGTGGTGGCACGTGGGAATATAAGGAAAAGACGCGGCCGCCAGTAGAATATGAGTATATTCCTGATGAAGAATATGATGAGGAGGATGAGGACTACGATCGCAAAGGCAGTCGTGTAAAGAGGGAAGCGAAAAGGAAAGCTGCAAAGCATGGCACTTCCAGAGCAAGAGTTGAAGGCAAGACCTCGGGTAAGAGTGTTGTTACTAGCCTGATAGTAAAGTGGCGAATGATCGTATTTTCAGATAAGGCTCGATTTTCGGATCTTCGACAGGCTGTAAAAGAGTCGAAAGATGCCGGTGGTGTTATTGACTACCAAGGAGTACTCAGTCGAGCCAGCGTTGACTGCAACTCCTTAAGATGCACTCACATCGAGTGCGATCTCTACAACATCGGAGAGGATGAATTCGTTCTTGTTGAGGTACGCTATGTCCCTTCTTAATCGTTATCCTGGCCTAAACCTTCAGTTCAGATCTTCTCGCGCCTTTACACCAATACACTCGTCGACGAACGCAATCCTGGAGGTGAAATCTCCTCGTTGGCAATCGCCAAGGTCACTTCATCCAAGATCAGCTGGCCCCATAAGCCAACTCTGGCTACGGCAGTGAGTTGCTGACCTCGTTCTTCTCTACTATTCGGAACCACTCAGGAATTCTGACCTAATTTTTTACGTTTTGACCATTTTTTTACGTTTTCGATTACTTGGGAGATCAGCTTCTTCCAGGCAGTGTTCCTGTCCTTCCAGGCAACTCTAAGGGGTGCTATGTACATAGTCGACCCCGAAGAGACAAAGGTTTGCACGATCTGGTGGGCCTGTTTAGCTAGAAGACCCACAGAACTATATTCTGGCGTTTTTGAGCTCCTGGCCTCTTCCAATAGCAGAGCTTTTCGTGTGCTACCGCAGAACCGTTGATGTGATTTATCCCCATTGGTTTCAGCACAGTCAAGGCGACGAGTCCAGAAAGCTCTCGGGATGTGCGCTGACTAGAACCGGCT